AAGACAGAACTAAACACAAGCAAAAGCGATGAGGTGACAAAGCGAGAAATGACCGTCACCGGAAATTTCTGATAACGTCAGATAGATTGGGGATCGCGAGAAATCCACAACCGCCAAGATGAAACACAGGCTACAATTGGAATTAAGAAAATCGAAGGTGAGAATCTGATCACACGAACCTAGTGGGCATAAATGTTGAAAAGACACTTTAGGCAGAAAAAGAGAGGGTGCTTGCCAACATGAAGAGACGATTCGCAAGACGTGGCGGGCAACAAGAAGAGGACGTGGAGATGAATGTGGATCCCGCCCTCAGGAGCGCTCAACAGCAACCCAAGATACCGCAAAAGCCCCTGTCTGGAACACCATGCCTCAACACAACCAAAAGGTTCAAGAAGATACGCGGAACATCACACAGGACACGCCTAGTGTCACTGGTAACGGATGTAAGTGACAGATGCGGCGGGAAACCGCTTTTAAACATAGAACAAATAGCAAGATGACCCTGTGGGAAAATGCGCAGAAGAGACACCCACAGATACGTTGGTGGAGGGTTGTAAAGTCGACAACAAAGCTATGGTGCAGCGCAACGAGATATAATTTGGCCAGTGCGAGCGATTTTACACAGAGATGAACGAAGAAAAAAAAGGAGGAAGGTAAAGAAATAATGGGTCCTGTGATGCTCGGAGGGCCGTGACGAATCTACTACACGTATATCATTGTGGCCGCATCCGAGCCAGGCCTGGACCATAACTGGCAATTGCCAGTACAAGTAAGAGACACGCCACAACGCTGAGCATAACAATGTTCGAAACCACTAAGAACGTGGAGGGTTTGAAGTTGGCAAAGATACCTGCGAGAAATCCGAGCATGGCACCTATTACACTGACAGCAGGTTGATGAGTGACAAGAGTGATCGTCAAATTTTTACTTACCTCAGCACACAGAAAAAAGTGGGTATGCTTGTAATTATGACTAGCATCATCCTCTTCTTTCGCAGGTAATGCCCCTGTTCATTTGGCGATATTGAGTTAAGCTTACAGAAAATGAGGTAAACCGAACCGCGAATTCAAGAGAGCCCATCCTCTCGCCAAAGCGTTGCACCATCGTGCCCGCAAAAATGCAGCCGACGCCTGCAAGTAGGGAGCAAGAGCACAATGTCTGTGCAGTCTTCGATACACCCAAACCTGGAATGGTAAAAATTGCAATGTCCATAGCAATCGAAGCACCTGCCTGAGGTGACGAAATGAGAAGATGGTCTTGTTTGCAACGGCGAGATAGACTTACCAGGGTGATCTGATTTCTAGCTTGACTGCTGAAGTCGTCGACAAATCGTTGGACTTCTATGCCATTTACAATACCATCAACAGAAGTGTTTCTGATGCGTTCGACTGTGATCGGCATACATAACATCGTGACTGCAGCGCTGCTCACAGCAGAAAGAAGTTTATTCTTTTTGCGCCTCTCTCTCACCGCATGGGATCGGATGAGGCGAGCTTCGGGTTGGTTGTGGCGGTTCAGGTATTGATGATGGCCTATGTCATGCTTAATAGCAACGGCGAAGAAATCGACGTCGTACGTACGTAGTATGTATAATATTCTGCCTGATAGTTAGGAGATCAATATTCGAGTCGATCGTTTTCTCGAGGCTCACGCACAACAGAATACGACGCTAGTTTCTTCTAAGAGCCCATTTTCCACAAGCCCTTCTGCATCTTGCTCATCAAGGTACTTTGTGGTCGATGTACGGGTACATACCGATATCGGCCAGCTGTGCGACAATTTGATTCATTTGATCCAGTGTCCAGAACATCGAGGCAGCTGTCGACTGACTTAAAGTTATTGCTTCTGTTCCTTGCTCAGTGATTTTGATAGTCGTCGCGGTGCTATAACCTTACCTCCAAGATAACAGCCGATTTCTCTCCGTAAGCGTCTCACCACTGACGTTTCCATTCGACAACTGTGCGGAAAAAATTCAAAGTGTCTCCTGACAAGTAGCAAGAAACGTTCGGGTCAGATCGTTTCCATCAGGAGACGACCTTCGAGATTACTTACCAATATTGCGCCTCAAGTTCGAGTCCTGCTTCAAACTCGTAAAAAACAGCTCATTGAAAACGATAAAACGCACGAACTCTTGTGAGGCCATTTGCTTGGAATGACACACTCGCGGAAAAGAATGTATCCATTCAATTCCTCTAACCAGGCGATGATGCGCTGATCGGGCACAACGTAGTAGTATTGGAATCGTTTTTCTCCCATAAACGTCGTCGGGTAAACAACGAGAATCCAACCGTCTTCCTGTGCCGCAGCGCGTGATGCATCAACGAAATTGTCGAGCATCCGTAGATCCTGATAATTCCTCAGATTCATAGACGTATATGTTTTCTAAACATTCAGTCGGTGAGTACATCGTAAAGTTGACACAACAGCTGCTCACCTTTTTGTGGTTATAGTAATACGTACCTCCCAAGGGATGGATCAACTCCTGCCAATCGTCAAACGTCGGGGGCCTGCTGACGGTCGTTAGACCGATACCCACAGAAATAAAGGCGACCGACCTAGGGTCACTGATTTGCTTCTGTTGAACCATCGTATTCTCAATTTCATCTTGACTAAAAATAAAAATAATTTGGACTAAGCATTTTGCGCGATATCATCTGTAACTCACAGCATTACTACTTCGACATACCGGGGCAGCTGTGTTGGCCAAATGCCAATACCACGGTCAAGCAGCGTCATCTGTTGTTGAGACATTGAGGTCGCCTAAAATACCACTGTCAGAGCGTCGAAAGGTGCATCGTGACTGAGCATACCTTGCTTCCCCGATATCAATGTCCGTAAAGCTATAGTAGTTGTAAAGGTTACCAATACGCCACCTAACTTCCCAGTTAGTAAAAATCGTTTCCGCTCTTAATTATGTCAGGTTTGCTTTTTTGGGAGCACGAGCCGGCCGGGTGGCTGGGTCAAGGCATAACGTTTGTTGTTTCCCTTTTTTAGAAAAGTTCGCTAACGCTCCGTAGATATGCAATTATCTCGCTCTATTTCTGTCCGATTTTCTTGAATCCTGAAGCTTGAAGATTCGCAAGCAGCATAAAATGTGCGTGTGTATAACATTTGAACTGATCCAGCGCCATAAATATGAGAACCATATCGATTCAGATTCAGATTAGCAAGGTGTATGGGTACTAATTATACAAGATGATGTTGATAGGGTATTACACAGCAACTCTTGGTACGCGACTGTATGTATGTCTATAGGTATGTTATGTGTACATCATGGTATGATACATAGCTTGCATATTGCATGATTGGGCATCCGGTTGCAGTGGTAATGTGGTATGTTGGTGTATGTGGCGTATATCTATCATATCTCTGAATCTTGTTCAACATCAATGAATTCCTGTACCATCGCGGTAATGATCATATATGATAGAAGATTGAACACGAACTTACTTAGATCTTGAGACCAAGGCGTCGCGCCACGCGAGCGCAACCGCTGGCGCACATACGCAATAGCTCTTTGATTCTGTTTAGTAGTGACGTTCGTTGGTTGGCCGCCGTCTCGGATCCATGTCAATGACAATGTCGGCCAACGGTTGTAGATAACCTTACCATGCTGGCAAGGAACTCAAGGTGTGTCTGTCGCGATTGTCGGTTGATAAATTGATTTGAGATCAAGGAACTTACACGATCATCGTGTGCGAAGTTGGGTGAGTGGAAAACGCGAGACATCTAACGTAAATATTCCTTATATATTATCAGATCTGATCGGGATCGAAGACTTACTGTTAAGCTTCCTTATCGGGGTATAAAATGGGTGCTTTGTAGAGTAATGTAACGTGATATGGATGTGTCAACTAATGATCCAAATAATAATCAACAGGAGTGATGAGCCAAATAAATACAAACAAAAGCTTGATCGGTACCCCTGACGCATCGATAAAGGTAGTTTTGAACAACTCGTAGCCTAGGAAAATGGGCTCACAAGGCCCTTCAACTTTCACTCAAAGATAGGAATCGTAGGATGTAAGTCAAGGAATCATTCACAATGATGTGGTTCTTGTCGTAGTCCAGGTATGAACGAAGAACATCCAAAAAATCATAAGCAGCTTCTCGAAGTCCCATCTTCCGAATCGATATTGAGCATGCGTACACGGTGCAGTGTTGCGAAGATTATGCAGAACCTCGGGAATAAAACTATCCACGCGCAAATAGCGCGCGTCCCTCGACTGACTTTCTGCGGCACCAATAGACTAGTGGGATGTTGAGTAAATTGGGTGTAGAAGCCGTCTCGCAATAACTGCCACATCTCACCTTGACATGCTGTGGTAAAGAGGGGGGGGGGAGACGTTACACCTTGCTCGCTTCTGCAGATGATGAACTAGTAGTGGCGATTGAGGCTAATCGATACGTTGTACGCACCGCCGAGATCAGCAAGAGACATTATGTCCGTTGATTTCCAATTCAAGTTCGGCTGCACGGTCCGACTGAGTTAAACATCCAATAGCAGCTCACGAAGTAATCTTCCACTTCCAATCGCAACGGGAAGCGACTGATGAGGGTGATACGCCTACGCCTACAAGGTAAATGCGTGTCTGCTGTATCATGTGCACATTCTTGTTGGCTCATCGACTTGACCTGCAGAGAGCTACAGACCCCTTCTGTGCGGTTGAGAGTGATGGGGCTATTCGCAATGCAGCATTTCGGCCCAAAGCCAGTTAGAACGCCTCACGTCCGAGAGGCTGATCGACAAGGCCCTTCAACTTAGCGTGCTCCTCTCCGGCAAACGTTTATCCTCGTGTCTTCGTCTATTAAGTCATCAAGGCCAACGGTCTCGAAGTGTCCATGATCCTGACCGTGAGCAAGCAGCCATTCAGAGCGAAACATGGTTCGGCGCTGGTAAGCACAGAATGCAAGATCGAATACATTTTCCACGGGAATTATATAGACGCGAGGCGATTCCTGCATGCTGAATTCAACCCATATGTATTTACGGATCACGGAGATTATCTACAATCCGTTTAGTGCTCGAATGTGCATCGATGACACTCAAACTTGCCTTCGAGTCCGAGATGGTCCCTATGGCACTTGTGTTCTAACCTTCATCTTGGTTGAAAAAGCCGATGTAGCAGCCTATCATACTCCAGCAGGCCGTCCGTCGGTGTATCGGATGCGCATGAAAGAGGGAATCCATGCTGTTGTCGGTTAAGACGTATCTTATGGGATTGATCGTGACACATATTTATAAATCTTCATTCAAGTCGCTGAAGGATCTTTTATGCTGCAAAAGCACGCGTAAACCAACCAATGAGCTGAAGAAATGAAACGCATCATGATACGGAAAAGATAATCCCTACGTTCGATCATCCTTCGACAAGCTAGACATGCAAGTTGATTTGCGGTGAAGAAGATAAAGGCCCGAGAACGCACCTCTTGCAGTCGATCTCTCCGTGCCTGCAATTCAGTATTTCCTTGAGCCTCGAACTTGGCGCGTTGCCCAAGCACTCGAGCAAAGACGTGATCAGAGATAGTCCACTTCTTATGCTGGCCTCATGTTTGGAGTCTGCAGACGAGTTATCTGAAGTTGTGGCTCCTTATCGTCCGGCTGAAGAATTCGCGCTCCTTAAACATTGATGTGCTCCACAGACTCAAAGGCTCCAGAGATGGAGGAAAAGAAGATAGTCGTTGGCTGATGCTAGCTAGTAGTACATACAATACTACAAACAACAAATTGAGCGAACCCGTGCGACTTGATCACGTGGACTTGTCCTATCCTGGGAGTGACTCGGATAGGGCTACTTATTCGTCGTGCAGCATCATGTCTGCCTGAGACCAACGAAATCGTCTCACGTCTGACACGCTGATTGACAAGGTCCTTCAATTTGGCGTGTTTCTCTCCATGCTTGAACTGTTGCGGACTTTACTGGGTTGGTAAAGGGTCAATCAGTCATACCACGCTCAATGTCTCTGGAGCAGGTGCGCATTTCTACCTTCTTTTTCGTGATCTCACAAACCTTTGTAACCTCTTTTTTATTCCAATTTTTGTCCTTTGCAGGGTGAACTCTATGTAAGGCAGTACGTATATACAGTTCAGTCTCTTTTTAACCTTTATATATATATATAGTAACCATGCTCTCAAGCAGGGTTCGGGCCTTCTCGTCGTCGCCAAAATTTACAGCACTTCAATACCCGAGTACACAACTGTATGTTGCATGCAAGTTCCTTTCTCCCATCATTATATGGAAGTCGCCATGAGGCAAGCTCATGAAATGCGCGTGACTGACGGTCACTATGGAGGTTACGGATACTCTATGTCCGGGCTACTTCGGTATGTCATCACCGCTTCAACTGTAGGAGGCGAAAACTCAGTCGGACCGTGCAGCCGAACTTGAATTGGAAATCAACGGACATAATGTCTCTTGCTGATCTCGGCGGTGCGTACAACGTATCGATTAGCCTCAATCGCCACTACTAGTTCATCATCTGCAGAAGCGAGCAAGGTGTAACGTCTCCCCCCCCCCTCTTTACCACAGCATGTCAAGGTGAGATGTGGCAGTTATTGCGAGACGGCTTCTACACCCAATTTACTCAACATCCCACTAGTCTATTGGTGCCGCAGAAAGTCAGTCGAGGGACGCGCGCTATTTGCGCGTGGATAGTTTTATTCCCGAGGTTCTGCATAATCTTCGCAACACTGCACCGTGTACGCATGCTCAATATCGATTCGGAAGATGGGACTTCGAGAAGCTGCTTATGATTTTTTGGATGTTCTTCGTTCATACCTGGACTACGACAAGAACCACATCATTGTGAATGATTCCTTGACTTACATCCTACGATTCCTATCTTCGAGTGAATATTTCGAGGACCTTCCTCCGTTCATTTGGAAAAACCGAGCTGATATGCACATATTTGCCCATGTAGGGAAATTATGATTTTTGCGACACTGACTGATCCGACGTCCCTACTATTACATGTTCGTTTATCTATATTAAATATCGGTGTTGTTGTTCTTGATGCGATTGCGGATGCGCCCACAGGGCTAGAGTCACGGGCCCGGATCGGGAAACGAAAAAAGCAGGACAGTATTCAGCGGCTGAGAAGCGAGTTGAATGTTTCAAGGGTCGCATTGACGTGAATGACAGCACGCGCAGAGGCTTGACGAACCGGTTTTTTTCCGCTTTGCGAAATGACAGAATACTTGTATACGACCAAGCGATAAATTACATAATATAACCTTCCACGCAACGCAGCCGTCTGTGAAGCCCACATTTTAAAGAGTCCGCCTGATTTCAGGAATATCCGTATGCGACACCTGATAGCAGTGGCCGTACCGGAAGCCCGTCTGCAATACTAATGTGCAAATAGCTGATGCATAAACTAACTAACTAACTAACTAAACTAAACTAGTTGAATGATGGACATCGATAGACAATGGTTGAACTTGAGCTTGAATGTTGAATATTACATATCGCATGAAAGTTCAGATTGCTGACTCGTTGGAGTCAATCGGCTGAGCTTTGTTCTGTATGCATATAGACAGCCGAGCGTGCAGCATTAATTTTATGTAAGCTAAGTTTACATAAGCCAAGCCAAGCTGAGTTACTGCTACGCGAGTACTTATCATGGTACTATACAAGATCTCTGTGACTTTCAACGTAAATTGTAGACTAGCCTAATCGGTAAAGCTTAAAGTTTGGCGCGCTTACGACGACGGCATTAGTTTTAGTACAACCTGAGCGCCGGATCTACTA